TCCCCTAACCAGGGGAAATCATCAGGAGATACAACTCAGACAGAAAATCCTGAGCAAATGAACAGAGAAATTTTGAAACTCCAGTTTGAGAACTCTTTTTTCATTTATACACACAACAAACAGTTTGAAGAGATATCTGATGGGAAAAGGTAACAACAGCATTTAATTATCTGTAGTGCCCACCCCTTAGGTCTGAGAAATCTTCCACTGCAATTTTCTGGTCTTCAAAGTAGACCACCATAAGATAGGACACCTGAGATGCCTACCTTTTGACAAGAAGACCATATACAGAGGGGTTTTGTTTTGTTGTTGCTTTTTTTTAACACTAACAAGGAGCAAGGCAGATCACAAGAACTAGACTATTTCTTCTACTGATCACACAAGACAAAAAGCAAGACTATGATGAATAAACATAAATGCTATCCTCACCCACTGCTGGATGCCACATGCTTTCAGCCTAGTTATTTCTTTCTGCTTCTTAATCAGTTACCTTCAACAAAAAAGGGCCTCCAAAAAGAAAAAGTATCTGACCAACAACTATCCTTCCTCCTCCCTAAGGGTGGCTGTATTTTACACCACTAAGTCTTGGATGTTGCAATTACTTCAGTCTCAGAACAAATCACTTCTGAGGAAAGAGCTCAAGTGGAAAGAAGGAATACTAGTTTTGAGGCTACATGAACAATATGGTTTTGTGTCCTGATTTATACTTGAAGAGGGAAAAGAAAAACTAAGGTATTTCTTTTAAAACCATTATAACAAATGAGTCTTTGGTGCAGCCATACTCACTTCCCATACTACTGCTTGCCACCAAGCATTGGGCAGAAGTGGCATTTTGCTGGCTTGATTTCATGAAAACAAGTTCTCGTCTTCCAAGGATATCTTTCTGAACATTCTGGCAGCTGCTACATGAATATCTTTTAACTTCTCTTCCTGAAGGGGGACAAGAACCTGTTCTTGCTACAGCTGAAGAGAATATAGAAATAAATTAAAAGAGCTTCAATTCTTTTAATTAAATAAATTTGTGGTAAGAGAAAGACTGAAGCAGTTTTCAGTCAGTTAAAATTAATGACGTGGAAATTAGTATTACTGACAGTGTTAGGTGCCAACTTGACTCGTGACGCATTTTTCTTTCTAACATGCCAAAACCAAGATGATTCTCAAGAAGTTAAATACTAGAAATCCTGGCTTTGTTCTTTCCTAAATTTGTTTGTAATCTCTGAGAGGAGAAATTGTTTGGCAAGCAAGTGGTACCTATTCTTTGTTATATGGCTAAAAGAAAATTGTACTCAATTTGCTCCGACCAAATGATCTTGAGCCAAACCCATCCCCAATGCAAGCAAGTCAAAAACCGTAGCTCGAAGTGTTCTCAAGGTTAGAGGCACAGGATAGCCTTGAAACACTAATTACCATTGCTTTCACAAAACATAATGCTAGCAGCTGCTAGAAAACTACATTTCACAAGCACTTTTCTTCATATTTCAGCCCTGTGTGGACTCACAGCAGCTCATCATCACAGCCAAGAATAAACACTTCCAAGATCAAGCAGCTCTAGTGTGACCCCAGAGAGCCTCCTGCATACATGTGGACTCATGAAACTACACATACATGGAAAATCAGTCATGAACACAAGTCATTGCATGGTGAAATCCACAGACTTTTCACTGCTTGTTAAAAAAACATGTTTAAAATGTCAGTTATGCAAAGGCATAGACAATTCTTTATCTAAATCTAAGGTTTCTGGGGGAAAATATTTCCATTTTTCTTAACACAGCATTAGTTTTTTCTTATTATGTTGGTTAGGATATAATCTTCCCACCACCAAGAGACAAATAAATAAATAAAACAGAAAGAAAAAAAAAACCACAAGAGGACAACTGTGCAGCCCTATTTCAATGCTAGCAAGAAATGGAAGAATTTAAATAGCAGAAACTGAAATAACAGGTTTTGTTCTTTACATTTAATGTTCTGTGCCACTATATGTAACATCTGAGTATAACAAATATTGCTAATTGTGTTTCATGATATTTAAAATCTACAGCAACTTAGCGAATTGGAAGATAAAGACTGCTTTTTTGAAAGGAAATGAAAACCTTCAGAGTTCATCATTTCATGCAATACTTACCCTGGAACTCCCAGGTTTTTTTTGGCACCCAGTTGAGAAACTTGTTTACTGAGTTCCCTCATGTTCCCCCATTTGTGACTCAAGCTCCTTCTCAGCAAAACAGCCTTCAGCAGCCCCATACAGATTAAGTGCATTAAGTCTCAGGCACTACCTCAGTGATCCCAGCGTCCATGGACCTGCACCAAAACTCCCCTCTGGCTCTTAGGGGTGCAGGAGAAAGCAAAGGGAGCCCCCCCCCGGGCTGGGATGCTGACTCAGCACTCTGGCTGCACAGCAGCCCAAGCCTCCAGGACGCCACAAAAGCAGGACCTGACGCAGCCCCTGGTGCGTCAGAGAACACACAGCAGGTAAGAAACTCAGCCTGATTCAAAATCCACTTACTGCCACTGGCTTTAGCAGACTTCGAATGGGACCTCAATACACAGAAGAAATGGGAAGACCTAGAGAATTTAAAAGAACCAAGTCAACCCAGAAAACTTTAGTACGGTCCCTTCTTATAAAATTGTGCCAAGCCACAACACACATAGCTGCAAGTGCTTTTCACCACAGGCATGGACATACCCTCTTCTCCACTAGCCTTTATTTTCTTATCCTCCTGTCACTGGCAGGACTTACTGCAAGCCCAGCACAAACAGCATTAGCATTTTCCCTGCCTATGCAGGCAAGAAAACTGTCCATAAAAAGGAGGCAGAGCTGTGGTATCTCTGTACCACCACTTACGTATTGGTATACAAGAGAAGGAGGCAATAAGCACAAAGGGCTAAGAATGCAAGAACTACATTTCAGGTGCACAGCTATGTGTTGGTACAATGTTCACTAGTTAATCTTTGCAGGGCAAGCACCCGAGTGCTTTCACTCTCTGCATTGTTATTATAGAGGTTGGCTCCTATTAATAATTACCTTCCTATGACTGCAGCACACAGTTTTTCTTCGTTGTTGGTACTGCTGCTCAGAATTCCTTTTCCAGATCTCAACACACCAAACAGATTACCATCCTCTCAAGGATGTCAGGACTGGTAGAGATCTCTATTGTGCATACCTGGATCTTACAAAACAAATGACAGCTTAACGCTGCTCACTTCCCCACATAACCTCACACAGTCGCTGTAAACTTTTAATCTTTTGTGCTGAAGTAATCAAAATTATAAATAACAGCATCTATTTAATATTCCCTGCTATTATGTGCAAGAAAATAGACACAGCAAACAGAAGTGTTTGTGACTCTAAGCAAGATACAGGAAAAGCACCAAATGAGTTTACTATAAAGGCTATGCTTGCCTAGAGACACAGGAGAAAATTGTGTAAAAAAAAAACCAGCCACAGAAGCATATTCATAGGTCAGGACCCCATAAATCAGTTCCAACTAACAATAAAAGGTTTATAGGGCATTTGTAAGGCACAAAGAATGAACAGGATCCTGGCCCCAAGTAAAGCTTGGTGAATCAATTTAAGATGGCAATCAAGAGCAAATAACAACACTAACCTTACCCTAAGTTTGAAGAAAGATGGTTTCCTCTGCCTCCAGGAAGAGGTGAAGGAAAAAACAAAACAAAACACCACAACCAGAAACAACAAAGACAGAAATACAAGAGAAAAAAATAACAGCACAGAGAAAGGGTCTTAGCTACCCCATCTGGCATGAGAGCGCTTTTTTGATAGCTCAGAGCTGTGTGTTTAAAATCTCAGCCCTGTTCATGCAAATTTCTCCCATCCTAAAGCCCTCTCTCCCAAACAAGCGAGCATTATCACTCCCCACCTTCAGTTTTAGAGGCAGAAAACACTATCCTTTCCTATCACAGTGACAGATACAACGCTGAAAAAACCCCAAATACTTCCCTATAGTGTTTGAGAATTTTTTAAAGCTGTAACTGGCAAAGCTTACGAGTGGCAGGTACGCCAAAGTGCTCTCTGCACCAGCAGCTAAGTCAAGTAAAACATCACTTTCAGCACCACCATTACAGGAAGTACTGCTAAGACTTATCCACCAAACAACACCACCACCACTACCGTCCTCCATTTTCAAGTCTGAATAACCTATCTCATGGCTCTTACACACTGGGAACGTCCAGCGGAGAAAGTGCCACGGGCTGCAGGCGTGCTGTAAACGCAGAGCCCGAATCCCCCCAGTGACCGCAGACCAGCTCCCTTAAAGGATGCTGGGCAAGTCACAAGGCTTCTGCGCCTGAATTCGTGTTTGTTTAAGAGCAGTGGCAGCACTTGTGACGGGGGGGAAATGGAGGTTGAAGACACGAGCTGCTGTGCCAAGCTCAGGGATCCTAAAGGAGCAGGAGTCGGTATTGCCACGTACTGGGGAGCAGGGGGAAGGGAGGAGACGCGCCTCGAGAAAACAGAGATGGTTATCTGACAAGGGCTGGTTCTGCCCTGAAGATGTGCTTTATTGACTGGCTTGGGCCCCTTCAATCTGCGTGTGCTGCAACACGAAGCACAGCTGACCCCACACAAAAGCCGCACAGCTGGCGGCCCCCGGAGGGCCGGATCCAACCCCACTGGCCTCGAAAGGGGCTCGCAGTTCCAGCCGCATTCCCCAGTACCGCGCCGTGCTCCCGAACCCGCCCGGGCCAGCCCCGCTCTCGCCGCTGCCCCCCGCCCATGCGGGCACGTCCTGCGTGGATGCGCATCCCGCGGGAGAGCAGCGCCACGAGCGCAGCCGCCCCCGGGGCTCCGCCGAGGCACACCGGCGTTGGAGCAGCACCAGCGAACCGGCCCAGGCCGGTCTGCACGCAGAAAAAGATAAAGAGAAGCGCGACGGAAAGCGAGGGGAGGGAGCGGCGGGGGCGCCGGTGAAGATGCCGCCCCCTCCCCGCGGCCCCTCCGCCGCCTGCCCGACCGCCCCCCGCCGGCCCCGCGCTCGCCTCACCTCAGGGACGGCTCTGCGGGCTGCGGACCGCGAGAGCCGCCCGGCCGAGCCGAGCCGTGCGTGCGGCGCGGGCGCAGAGCTTCTCGGCGGCGGTCAGTCCCGCGGCGCTGCCATGCGGGCGGGCAGAGGCGGGGCGGGCTCGGCTCCTAGCAGCGCCCTGCAGCGCGCACCCGCATGGCTCGGCGAGCGGACAGCACCGGCTGCCGGCGGCGGCGGGGCCGGCGGGCGGCGGCCAATGGCTCCCGCGGCGCCGCGCATGTGAGGGCCGGGCTGGGCCGGCCCCGCCCGCTCGCCCCCCGCGCAGCCGCCGCGCTCAGGTGCCCGCGGGCCGGGGGCGGAGGCGGGACCCGCCGGGGCCGCGCTGGGGAGCGGGGACGGGGCCGGGGCCGCGGCTGGAGGCAAAACCTGCGGGGTGTTGTCGGTGCGCAGGTAAACGGAACCTGGTGCGTGAGCCAAAGAAAACAGCGACAAGTTCAAATTGCGTGGCTTAATTATTAAAGTATTATCATGGGGAAGGAGGAAAGTTATTTTATATGTCTATCATGAGCCCTTGAGGGAACCAAAAAGTCGAAGGCAGCTTTAGCTCGGGCGGGGGGCGGCACCGCTGGGACCGCAGGGACGGATTCCTGCACGGCGGCTCCAGAGGCTGGATACAGGACACTGATGAAGAAGCCGAACTGATCCTGATCTCACCCCGAAATCCACTAGAAAATTTATTTTCCTCCTTTAACTGAAAAACCACCGATATCCTTAAATATTTCTTGAACACTGAGCCGACACGCGACCAGACGTGCGGGTCTTTTGAACTAGAGGTAATCTGTTACCTTTGAAAGTATATTGGTCTTGATCAGAATGGAATTTAAAAAAAAAAATATATATATATATACAAGCTAATTTTTTCCATGTTTTATTTCTTTCCCATGTTTTCAAGCACTGGAGGAGATGGGAGGTGATCTTTTGGTGCTTGTTCAGAATAGCTTTATATCCCTTTATCGAATGAGAATTTCCCCTTAATATTTTTAGATGCATTTTTAATCAGACCTTCTGGTCTAAATGACTATATGATGTATCTAAGGTTACAAATGAAAGCATTTCTTAGCAACAATTCACTTCGGAGACCAGAAAAAATCAGGCCAGCTTGTCCTGCTCTCAGCTGTTCGACACTATTTTCATACCAGAGTTTTCATCTGGTGGGAAATTTTAGCAGAGCTCAGATTTAGTCTAATGAGCTGTCAATTATTTTAAGCTTTGATTTTTACTACCTTCATTTGGCCTTTTAGTTATTTTCTTCCCTGAGATCATCATCACTTGTGTTATTTTTGTCCAACATTTTAGACCTCACTTTTCTCAATAAGGTGATTTAGTATCTGTTTACTTATTTCTGCTCTGACCCAGCGGCAAAGGCACACAGGGTGTGTAGTACTGGGGCTCCACAGTGAGGGAGGGTTAATAGAGATAAAAGCAGTCCAATCTGGTAAACATCAAGGCAAGTGAAAACAGATAATAACAAGAGCTGCTGGCTGGGAAATCCTGAGTCGAAGGCAGCTGGCAGAGAAATTCAAGCGGAAGAAAAAAGGATTTTTTCGGATGCCAGAGCTGGTCAGAGCTGGCTGAATCCACATTCACTTAGCAATCAAGATACTTTGCCAAGCTGAGGCACACCAGCAAAACAAACAAATGGCTCTGGGGACCTGAGAGAGAAGACACCTGGAACTGGGCAGATCCGGATCCAATTAAGATTCCCTTTCCGACAGGGCAAACACAAGCGTGAAGGACTTACCTCCTACAGAACATATGCTGGGTTGCTTGGTTGGTTTTTGTTTTGGTATGTTGGGGTTTTTTTCACTCATTTTGGTATGTATTTAAGGGTACGCAAATGGGTTTCAATTTAAACCTTTCTACTCTCTTTCTTTCAAGTTCCCAGGCTTGTCTGAGTACTTTTAGGCAGCTCTTTCTAGTTTGCTGTTTCTGGCTCTAACCACCTAGGACATGCTGAAGTGGGATAGAAAAGAGAGGAAGGGAATGATAAATCTAAAAGAGCTCAGTTTGGGGCAAATAAAAATCCCAACTGTTCTGTTATCCTGCTCTAGTCCATAGGCAAAAGTACAAGTCGGCCAACTCCAAGTTACTCCATGTGATAGAAAAGATGCCAGAAAACAGAGGCTGTGGGGGGGAAATGGCTCTTTTCCACTTGCACAGTTTTGACATTGACCCTTTACAATTAAATAAACTAATATTGTTATTTTGATTTGTGGCTCAGAAAACTGAGTTAGTGATTACATTAACAAGCAATAGCAATGCAGCCATATGCCTCACAGAATAAACCAACCCTGTTTGGTTTTACAACAGCATTTTAGTTTCAATTTTTCAAATTCCATAACCTTGAGTAGCCAAATATGTCATATTTTTCAACCTTATTGTTATTTTCATATCATTAAATTTTTTTAGAAAATATCAGCTCTCCAACAGAGTTATGGTTTTGGCCAGCTTGAAAGCTGACCATTTATTCTGAGATGATTTCCAGTTCTTTCCTTCTTTCACTTAAATAGCCATACTGTGCGTCTCATATATACCTGCATGACATTGTCCAGCAGGTGTCCAAGTGCAGTCCAAGGGAGCCAGGTGCAAAAGGAACACCAGCAGAAGGTGAACATAAGGAATAGATGATATCAAAAATAGAGTGTGCCAGTGGTTCCTCAGAAAACAGTGAGAAAATTCCATACTGGGAAATATTTCAGTCCTGGCTTTGAGTGGGCTAACAAATTTTTCTCCCAAGCAAATTTAAGCTGAAGGGAAATTTTGATACTAGGGATTAGACAAGATAATCTTTCAAGATGCTTTCCAACCCAAACTATTCTATGGTTCTATGATTAAGTAGATGAGGTAGTAGTTATTTAGGAAGAAGTGCAGATGGCTACATAGAAGAGACAGGCAGGGAATTAGCTTTCCCCTTTCCAGAAACAGGGAAATTTGGCTTCTTGGACTGGGTAAAGATGAAGGGGAAGATTCCAGTTTAAATAAGGAGGAGGATGCATATGAGTCACTTTTCTTGGCTACTGGCCACCTGTTTTCAAGAAAGAGTGTTTCTAAGTGCTGAACAGCTCAGCCTGTGGACAGGACACATGAGGATGCAGTCAGACTTGTCAGCCGGATCTGCCACTGCCATCCCCCATGCCCATTAGTGCCAGCCCTGTGCCATGTGCCTGCCATAGTGGCAGCAAGGCTGGCTTTCCAGGCAAAACTGGGAGATGTGTTGGCAGCTGTGCAAGCAGATGTTGGCAAAGGCCTGCTCTGTATATGCCCACAGCTGGCTGTGGAGAGCCTGTAGCATGGAGGGCCAGCCATGGGGTGTGAGGCTGTGCTCTTCCAGAGAGGAGAGGGAAGGAGAAGCCCGAGGGTTGTGATCCTGTGCTACCAGACTGCTGCAGAACAGTCTGCCCCATCACCAGGACAAATTGCCAAAGCTTTCAGAAAGTCTAATCAAATTATCAGACAATCCTCCTTAGATACGTTTTTACAATCCCAAAGATATTGAAGAAAAGAAAAAAACATGTTTTTCCAATATAAAAAGCATTGCAAAACCTTGTCCGTACTAGGTTCATTTGTGATTCCATCAATTTTTTTTTAAATTCCTGCTAACCAACTTTCTTTGCCATTATATAACTCCATTATAAACAATTATCCAGACCCATGTTACCACTTTTTCTGAAGATACTTTGCTATTATGCTTGTTTTCAAACACCTGGCACAGCAGCCTCTATTAAAAACACAGTGACTTTTGGAGGCCTTGCTACCCAGCCTACTCTGGCTGGGATTCTCCCAGCTTCTGAACTTCCTGGATGGAAAAAAAATCCTTGCTTACCTTATCTTTGGGCTGAAAAAAGAAGTGAATTACTGTTTTAGATAAACAGCAATTTCTACTTATATCCAGAACTCCACAATATGCTCACCAGTTCTTTTATTTCATTTGTGATAACGTGTCAGCTACCCAATGTGCAGTTCCATTTCTAAAAATTTGGGAGATGAGGCCTCATTCTTAGGAAGTACCTTTTTATTTTGAAACAAGAGCAGCAGCCACGATGGTGTGCATTGCAAGCAGTGTGTGTTATCACACTGCAGCTCAGCAGAGTTTTTCAAGTGATGGCAGGAACACATGCTGGCTGCTTCTGATTACACAGAAGACCTAGTTTTCATGAGTTCTCAAATTTCATCCAGTGGATATACAAACAGATGGCCAATCTGTTTCATTCTGTACTAATCAATAAAGGACTATAAAGTCAGAAAACACACATATGAGATGAGGAGGCATGGCAGGAAGGCCATAAACTGAGCTGCAGGCAAACCTGCCCTTCACCCTGGCAACTTGCCAGGGCAGGACTTTATTTTAGCAGAAGCAAGAATATGGTTGTGCATTGTTTGGCCAGCCCAAGATAAAGCCTGTGTCAGTCAAATGCAGTGGCTGGTAACATGGATCTGTGTACTCAGATCAGAGCCCAGGCAGGAGTCACCACTGACATGTTGAGTACCTTCTGATCTTTAGAACCGGCAGGCTGGGAGGGGGCATTAGTCTGTTCCAGTCCACTTTTGCACTTTACTGCTTCTATGATCTCTGCCTCTTCTGCTCGCCACGATTTCCACAAATACTAAATGCTAAACACAAAAATTTAAAACCCATCATAATCAGAATTAGCAGGATAAGACCAAAAGAAGCTTTCAGGTGTCACACTTTGTCCAGCCCTGCTCTCTGGAACAATTTCCCCACTTTCCCCAGGACATTTCAGTCTGTTATTTCTTTCTTCAAATCATGCCTGAAAGCCCTTCTTTCCCCTTCTGATCTCAATTGGCTTTCTCAAGGAAATGGCTGTGGCTCCATGTGCAAATGGAGTGACACAAAACCTAAGTGCTCCTCCTGGATCTAGGACAATGGTGGCCTTTAAAGAAATGGCAAGCCAGTTATCTTCAGAGTGCTGAGCTGTACCTGTGTTAGCACTTAACCTTTACTTCCCCAATCACACAGGTACAATAGTTAGACCTTGCTGATTTTGTTATTCCCTT